ATCTTTATTGCCCTGCTTACAGAAACTGCCTCTCCGGTTAACCCTTATTACATTGTCATAGCTAAGGCGAAGTACCCATCAACCTGAGTGACCTTGAGTTGGCCAAGCCCACCCAGTCACATGACCACCGAGCCCCACCTACTCAGATAGTCATTAGGGCAGAGAACCGGTTGTTTGAATCCCACCACTGAATATTTGGGTATCCAATTGACATCACAATGTGTAACAATCAAGGAGGATAACTATTATAAAGTGGGAAAACAAATAGAAATAGATTTGGAAATGTGTATCTATTCCTTGATTAAGTCTGCCTTTCGATAACATCCTTGAATTCCAACACAATCTCTCTCTCTCTCCCTCTTTCTCTCTTTCTCTCTTTCTTTCTTTCTTTCTTTTTCTTTTTAGGGCAATCCCCCACCCAAGGGGCCACGCACATTTGGCAGCCCTTGTGAGCCAAGAATGTAAGCCAGATCTTGTTTCTTGCCACGGAAGTGTTATTTGTTGCGTGGTGCTTGGGATGAATCTTTCCAGACACATTGCCAGAATACTTTGTGGCATACTCTGCAGAAGCAGCCTACCTCTGGATGTGTGTGTGTGTGTGTGTGCCGAAACAAATCCACACCACAACTAGATTTTTGCAGCGTGTGTGGTTTTGCTGATGGAGAACGACATCCGTCTCTCCTTGCCACTTGGCACGGTTGTAAATGTTTTCCAGATGCTTTGGTCTGCTTTCTCACTAAATATTTGGGCATCATAATTGGCAGAGGCAATCTTAATTGGCAGGGCATGGATCGAAACCATTAAGGGATTTCCATGCTGTGTCCACAGTATATAACGCAATACAGATAATCCTTAATTTACGACCAAAATTTAGCCCAAAATTTCCTTCGGCTAAGCAAAGACAGTTTTTAAGTGAGTTTTGCCAGGGCACTGGAAAAAAAAGACGCTTGCGACTGTTCTTCACACTTATCACACAGTCGTGATCAAAATTCAGATGCTTGGCAACTGGCTCTTATTTATGACGGTGACAGGGGTCGAGCGATCCCCTTTTGTGTCCTCCTGATATACAAGAGTGAACGGGGAAGCCAGAATCACTTAATTACCTATTGCCACCTTCGCACACCCCATTTTCCACCCATCCTGATCCCCGCACTCGCGGAGGCCGGAAATGGGGCGCACGGAGGCGGCATTACGCTATGGCAATCCCTGCAGCCTGAAACAGCTGACCGTGGGGAGGCCTGACAATCAGCTGCTTGTGCTAATCAGGCTGTGCTGGAACTGAAATGGGCTGTTTGCTGTTTGCTACAAGGAGGCCAATTGCTGGGAGGCAGAGGGAGATTTTTTATTTTCTTGTGCTAATCAGGCTGTGCTGGAACAAACTGAAAAATGCTGTTTGCTGCAAGGAAGGAAATTGCTGGGAAGCAGAGGCGGATTTTTTTTTCTTTTTTTCCTCCCCAAAAGCTAGGGGCGTCTTATACTTCGGAGGGTCTTATACTCCGAAAAAGACAGTATGTGAGCCCATAGCTAAAATTACGATATTAACCAGGGTTTTCTTTCCGTTGTGTCTTCCAGCATACAATTTCTCCCATCGGATAGATCACTTATCCTTTGGAGAGCTCATCCCAGGCATTATTAATCCTTTAGATGGCACGGAAAAGATTGCATCAGATCGTAAGTGGGTTTTATTTATCTTTATCTCTTTCTTTGTTGTTCCGCTTGGATGACAATTCTCTTCTTGATTTCCTTGAGTGGCATTTATTTGCATCATTTCCGTGGCATTTTTAACGACTCTGCCGATGTGTTAATCACAATCTCTGCTGAGATCTCAATAATTACAATAATAATTGGTAGGGTAATATTTTCAGAAATAAATATGTCATTTTTTTTTTACGGAATCTAGCCTCTATGATGGTATCTTACCTATGGAACATCTCTGGCTACTCCCCAAATTATTAATATATTTACATAAAGGCTAATTAGCATACAGGGGGGGTGTTGAGCCTTTTGTATAAGCCCAAGGAGATGGTATGCAGGAAAGGAGGATTCCGTTTTAATTGTGGGTAAATGAGTTTATCTCGTGCTTAAATGCACTTCAAAACTTTCTCTACGACAGAGGAATCAAACTCAAGGCCCGGGGGCCGGATCTGGCCCGCGGGGTGCTTGTATCTGGCCCACGGGCCACCCTGGAAATGGGCCTGCGGTGCTTCTGCAAGTGAAAATGGAGTTTTCACCTGGCCCTCCCTAGCTCCATTTTCGCCGGCAGGGCGAGTGACGACAAGATTACCATGCCGCACCCCCACCCCCCCGGCCACGCACCGCACCCCCACCGAGGTCAAACACAACTCTAATGTGGCCCTCAATAAAACCAACAATGTAGGTTTATACTCAGACTGTTGTTTTCCTGCATGATGAATTTTGTTTTAACTAATCTTTTTCTTTTAATTTGGGTGGGATGGGGTTCGGCAGACAATCAGATGTTCCAGTACTTTGTTACTGTGGTGCCAACAAAACTTCAGACGCACAAAATTACAGCAGAAACGCATCAGTTTGCAGTGACAGAAAGGGTAAGTTCAAAAAAAATGACCAGTTTTTTTTAAAATGTGTGTGTGTGTGTGTGTGTGTGTGAACAGTAGGTGCTATTTTCTTCTGTCTTTTTCCTTTATGATTAAAAAATAAATAAAATAGAAGCCTTTGCAATAAACGGATGTGCATTCAAAGTCCCTAATTAAATTATTTCCAATTTTTTTCCCCTTTTCCTAATGTTCCTCAATACGGGCTAGCTTTTCCAAAATAAATTTTAAATAGTAGCCACTGACATCTCGATTTTAGGGTTTTTTTAAACTTTTTTAAAAAAATAAACAATATTTATGTCAAGCCTCCAAGTAACATATCCCAAAACACAAAATCCATGGTCCGACAGTGGCCTGTGGAGCTGGCAGCAGACTCGGACAGTGAGGAGGTTGGGGAGGAAGATGGGCCAGTCCTGGAGTCTGGGGGAAGGCTCGGACGAGGGCTCTGCGTCGGAGGCAGAGAGGGTGGCCAGGGCCATCTGGGAGTTATGTGCTGCCTCCGGAGCCTCCAGAATCGGACATCAACGAGGCAGAGGAACAGGGGGAGCCTGTTCCCGGTGCGCGCATGCGCAGAGCTTCCAGAAGGCAAGAACAGTTAAGACAAAAGGGGCGACTCGGGAGTAAGGCTTGGAGATGATTGGCCCCTCCCATAAGACATAAAAGATTTGTTCATTTTGTTCGGTTCAAACTCTGAAGCTCCATTTGACTCTGTGCTCCATTTGGCCTTGCAAACCTAATTGGCAATTAG